TGAGGGGAGGAGAATGGTTCATATGGTATGTACACAAGCAACCACCACTAAAAGCATATTTGAACCCTGCAATTCTGGTTTCCCTGACCTTGAAACACCCTCAAGAATCCTGCCCTTCTGCCCTCAGTTTGAAAAACATTTGTTTGGAAACAGTTATGTGTAGCTGATCCTTTCTCTGCCCCACTTACCCCCAAGCATTCACTTCTGTTGTAGCCTTGTTAAAAGTGAGTCCTGTGAGTAATGATTTTATTTTATCTCTTAAACTCACTAATTGAAACTTCCCTAAAGTTTTAATAATTCTGTGCATTCAAGTATAGGGGAATTTTATGTATTTCTTCCATCTCTGTCACAATTTTTTTTTAACGCTTGTGGTTAACTACCCATGTAGACATAAAATTCCTATATGTTTGTCTAAGCTCACTGGTATTGATATATTAATTTGTTCCGGCCAATTATCTCTTTAATGTGTCAGTATTTTGGAATTTCATTTCCATTGAAAGTGACAGTGATATGTGAATTCCATTCTTCTAGTGGGAAAGGTGAAAAAAAGTAGGCTTTATTTTCCTTTCTAACTTTTTTTTAAACACAGGCCCCATGGTAAAGTAGATAGAGTGAATTTGGAATAAGGCAGATATGGGTTCAAGTCCTTTTTTCATACTTAATAGCTGTATGAAATGAGCAGTTCTCTAAGACTAAAACTTATGGCTAAATTGAGAGTTCCCACACAGGTAATAAACTGTGTATACTACAAAGTAAAATGAAAAATAAGTCATTACCTGGAGGCGGCAGAGTATAGTGGAAAGAAAGCTAGATTATGAGCAAAAGGACTTAGGTTCAAATTCAAGCCTGCCACTTGTTCCATCAGTAACTTTAGACAAGTTACTATGAGTCAGTTTCCTCATCTGCTTGGTGAGGCAATAGGGGTTAAGTGACTTGCCCAGAGTCGCACATCTGGCAGACCAGATTTGTCTGAGACCACATTTGAACTCAGGTCCTCCTGGCTCCAGGGCTGGTGCTCTATCTACTGTGCCACCTAACTGCCCCCTCAGTTTCCGCATCTGTAAAATAAGGGGGTTAAGATACATGTTCTGTGAGGCTCCTTTCCGCTATAAGTTACTGCCAATAGCTAATTCAATTAATTTAGATTCTAAAATGAACTGAATTTTTTTTAGCCTAAATGACCTTATTTGGCCAGTTACATTGGGCTGAAATTATACTTCATCATAATCATGTAGTTCTACACAGGCAGACCAAATCAATGAAGCAAATACCTGTGTCTGTAAATTTCAATCAAAACTACCACTGAAAGATAAAGTGATTTGTTTGAATCTTTGATCCAAACAGATGGGTAGTTGTAGGTAAGTAGTAAATGTGAATTCACTTAATCAGCCCACATATGCAACCTTAGAACTGTGTAGACACAAACTAACTGTTGGATTGACTTTTTCACATTAAAACCTTCAGATTTTATTTGTTTTAAAAACCTTCCCAAGAAAAAGCTGTTAAATAAGACAGACTCACAATATTTTAGTCTTAATACAAATTAGCAATCTAGACCAAAACTGAGGTCTCTATTATGGTTGTAGAGCAAGGATTAGACACAACTCATTTTGTTCTTGATGAAGGTATCTGGGCCTGCAACAAAACTATTTCTCTCAGTTTGGGTTCTTTGGCTTCCGTTTGTAAAGAAATTGTAACTTGGAATTCATGAACCTTTATTTCCATGGCAACAATTATAGTAAAAGTATGACTTCAGTGAAATATTACACATGAAGACAGAGAAGGAAATGTGTTGGCTTTTTTTTTTACCATAAACCTCTGGACTAAAATAATAATGTAGTCTTGTGAAAACAGATGAAGATCTGGATGTTTAGATGTTAGAGTAAGCTTTGAAACTTTCCTAAAGTTTTAATAATTCTGTGCATTCAAGTATAGGGGAATTTTATGTATTTCTTCCATCTCTGTCACAATTTTTTTTAATGCTTGTGGTTATCTACCCATGTAGACATAAAGTTCCTATATGTTTGTCTAACCAAGTTCAATATAGTTTGAATTTGTTTTTTAAAATGAAGGCCTCCAGATGACAAAAGATAAAAATAGATAACTGCATTCATTTTATGGGCATTGATAGCCTGCAATTTTTCTTTTCAATAGGGTAGCTAGATAGCACAGTAGATAGAGTGCCGGGCCTGAACTCAGGAAGATTCACCTTCCTGAGTTCAAATCTGGCCTCAGACATTTCCTAGCTGTGCAACGCAAGTCACTTAATCTTGTGGGCCTCAGTTTCCTCATCTGTAAAATGAACTGGGGAAGCAAATGACAAACTACTTTAGTATCTTTGCCAAGAAATCCTCAAGGGGGTCACAAAGAAGTGACGAACGACAGTGTTTTTGACAAATCCCTGTTCAGGGGCAGCTAAGTGGCCCAGTGGATACAGCACTGGTGCTGAAGTTAGGAGGACCTGAGTTCAAATCCAGCTTCAGACATTTGACTCTTACTAGCTGTGTGACCCTGGGCAAGTCACTTAATCCCAACTGCCTATGACAACAAAACAAAACAAACAAACAAAACAATTCTTGTTCATTCCTTCTGACCATTTAACTATAGGGGAATTGCTTCTATTCTTATATATTTTGCTAGTTTCCTGTGTATTTTGTTTAGCATCCCTTCTGGGATACCCCTCAATTTACATTAGCAGGTTACATCCCCAGGATGTGTCGGCTACTTTGGGTTCTAGGAGTAATCCTATAGTACTCCTAAACTGATAGCATATGAGCCCCCACCAATGTCCTTCTCATTAACAGTTAGCCAGTAGACAGAATTAGGTAATTCTTTCGATGGCATGGTACAAAATATTCTTCCCACAAACTTGTGACACATTCTTCTATACATAGACACAAACAGAAATGTCTATGACCTGAGGAGGTCCAAGGGTTCTATATATCCCTAAAATATTCAAAGCAGCACTATTTAAGGTGGCAAAGAACTGGAAACCAATCAGGTACCCATTGACTGAGGAATGATTAAACAAATCACAGTACATTAATGTGATGGAATTTTACTACACTGTATGAAAAGATGAACATGAACAATCCAGAGAAGCTTGGGAAGGCTGAAAGGAACTGGTACAGAGTGAGGTAAGAAGCAGGAACACATTGCTACCACGATATTTTTTTTCACAACATAAAGATATATTGAAACTAAAATCCAAGAAGAAAAATTGGATAGAAAGGGATATGTCTAATTTGTCTGAGGAGCAAAGGTACAAAAATAACAACATTTCAAGTCATCCATGACTGTGGTCTTGCTTCCCTCCCTTAGGCTCCTGGAGATGATTAGTGTGGGCTGGACCTGTCCCAGAAAGCCAAAGGCAGGATGGCAGCTGCATTTCCTCCTTCCATTTTATTTTGAAGTTAGAATTCCCAGCTTAAGGCAGAGGAGCTGGCATTAAAGGGCCAGGCTCCTGAGAAAATGAGAGACCTAAAGAACACTTTTAAAGAAAGAATTTCAACAAAAAAAATAGGATACTGTCATTATAGTGATCAAGCTTGTTCTTCAACAAGACTAAAAAATATACCTCTCCCTTCGCTAGAAAAGTAGATCTATAGGTGTGGCACATTGTATATTCTGCCAGACCTGTGTTGATGTGTTATTTAGTTGTGTTGAACTGCTGTTTTTCCCTTCTCTTTTACACACACACACACACACACACCACACTATACAGGTACATCTGTAGATATTTAGCTATATTATACCTATATCTACCGATACAGCTATATATCTCTACTACAGACATACAGAGATATAGCTATAGATACGTGTGTACACATATATATATATATGTATATATATTTATTTATACTGGTTTGCTGAGGAGGGCAGAAGAGAATAACATATACCGAAATGGAAGTTATGCAAAACCAAAAGTCATCAATAAAAACTATTAAGACAAAATAAAGTGAAAAAAAAATTCTCTTTGGAACATTTAGGGTAAGACATAGAAGATAAAGTTGTGTCCCTTTGGCTTTAGAAGTGAAAATACCCACATCAGGAGATCATCAGGCCACTGAAGTATTTGTCTGTGGAGGCCACTATCACATTCCAGAGCCATCTTTTTAAGTATGTTTGGGGAAAAAAAATTCTGGCATTTTTTCCTATTGTGGGCTTTGAAATTTGTCATATTGAAATATGAGAGATTTAAAACAGCCTTTTCATTTTCCATTTTGGGGGTTTCATGTGTATCTTTTTATTATCTTTTTATTTTATAAGTTTAATTTATTATATTAATTTTTATTGATATCTTTTTAATATCATCTATATCACCTACTATGTTCCTCTCATTCTCTCTCAGACGGCCATCCCTTATAAAGTATCAAGAAAGGAAAACAAATTCTGCAATCCTAAACAATGTGCATATGCAGTAAGCCATACCTATGGTCCCAGGAGATTCGCTTGAATTTTTCATGATTATTTTTAAATTATTTTTTATTTTTCTTTTAACATTTACAGATTTATCTATAGCTATGCTATAGCTAAAAAAAAAACCAACAAAAAATCGAAACAACATAATATTGAAAGGATAATGTTTGGAGTTCAGGTTCATTGGAATATCCTATACTGGGATATAGAGAATTAAATGGGACTCTATCTACTGCTTCTTGACATCTTTTTTTCCATTAAACACTTCTGACTACCACTTTTCCAAGTAGTTAAATACCATTTATATGTGAGGCACTATACTAGAGATACAAGGATAAAGCAAAAACAAAACAAAACAATAAGCTGCCCTTATGGACCTTGTGTTTTACACACATACTAAAAACAGGTAAATTTATGTAGTCTTTTTGAGGTTTACCAAACACTTCCCTCACAATGATTCTATGACTTTATCAATGCAAGTATTGTTTTCAGCAGTGTGCCTGTAAATGTTTAACAAAAAAAAAATGCATATTAATTTTTTAAAATTCAATCTGCATTATTATCATGTTTTCCATCATTTTCTTAAGTCTCGACAGTCAACAAAATAACAAATCAAGCCCTTATTTGTAGCATTTGCTCATTTCTGAGATGTAAATGCCCACACTAAAACTAAAAGGCTGGTTATCATGAACCAGTTTGAGCTGGCTCCAGTACACCTCTATTATCCTCATTTTATTGATGAGCAAACTGAGTCTTAGAGAGATTAAACACCTTGAACATGTTCACAAAGCTAGGACCTGTCAGAACTAGAAGTTGAACCCAGGTCATCTGGTTGCATGTCTAGGTCTCTTTTTAATACACCATGCTGTCTATAATTTAAATGTATATATTACCTCTCCTGAGGTTATTGTTAGTTTAAGCCTTCTCTGCAGTTATGGAATGAAACTAGGCATTATAAAGGCCTACTAAGATGATTGAAAGGTGTGTAAAAGACTCTCACTGTAGCAAAATAGCTTCCTCCTCTACCTTGGATAAAACCAGCTCTGAAAATACGATATGATACTTGTCTCGTCTTTGTCTGTTGCACAGACTACCTTATGAAATGGCACAGCGAAAGCTACAATCGAATGGACTGGTAATGCTGTATTTCTACAATATGAATCGGGTGGTATAAACCGATTGGCCTTTGAGTGCTCCAAGAGGACGTCCATTCTTTGTGTCCATATAGATCTCAGATTTGGAAAACAGTGACATTAACTCCAGAGATAAATAAAAAGAGTCAAGTAAATTGACAAGGAGTTCTTGTGATGTTTGCCTTATTGTCTTTAAAAATAATTTTTCTTCTGCTTTTCTTATGGTGTTTTCTTTGCCACTAGAGAGACAATGAAAAATTAATGGGAACAGTTCTAACAGGTCCATTATCAACAGCCCAGGTTCAAAGAGGGATGGCCACTTCTGTGCTGTCTGCAGTGATTATGCTTCTGGTTACCACTATGGTGTGTGGTCATATGAAGGATGTAAGGCATTCTTTCAAAGTGGCATTCAAAGTAGGAAAGCTTCATTAGATATATATTTCGTTGTTTTCATTTTCTTCAGTTAGTTTTCCCAGAATTTGTTATAACCATTTTGCTGAAGTTTCATAAAATCTTTCAACTAACTCTTTATGGCACAGAAATGCAAGAGAAGGAGTTTACTAGGTCTCCTCTCACGCTGGTCAAAGTCGATATTATGCTATGTAAGGAGACCTCTTTAATGTGAAAGATGAAAAATATTGCCAGTTTCCATCCTCATAACTGAGATATGAAATTGACAGAGGTTATTTTTTGTCATGGAAAATTTAAATATAATCCACATCAAGCAAAATTCATTTCAAGTCTCAGACAAACTCAATTAGATTCATTTTCTTTGGGAAGCCCTGATTGAAGGAAGGAAGGAAACAAGAATTTATTAAATGTTGTTATGTGCTAGGTAACTGTGCTAAGCACTGGGCATACAAAGAAAAGCCTAGACAAAAACAGGAAATATGAGACATAAAGATGAGGAAGAAGAGAATTCTAGGCAGGGAAAATGCTTGGAGTCTGGAGATGCAGCACTGAAGGATGCTAGTGTCTCTGGATCCCAGAGCACATGGGGACATGTAAGAAGAAAATGTATATGTAAGATACGTAAGAAGTAGAAAGGTGGCAAGTCATAGAGAACTTTCTAAATCAAGCAGTGGATTTCTATATTTGATCTTGGAGGTAATAGGGAGCCACTAGGTTTCATTAACTAGAGGGTGACATGGTCAGATTTGCACTTTAGGAAGATTAATTTCATAGCTGAGTGGAGAAGGGACTGGAATGGAGAGAGATTGGAAGCAGGGAGGATTAGCCAGCAGGCTGCATCATCAACACGGACTAATAGTCCAGGCACTAGGTGATGATAAAGGTGAAGTGATTTGCCTGTAGTCCCACAGTGTATGTTGGGGGGAAAAATCAAACTGAAGTCTTCCCGACTCCAAATTCATTCTGGAAAGGAAAATCAGAGTAAGGGAGTGGAAGCCTTTAAACGCAGACTAAAGAGCTTGTATTTTATCCTTGTGTCAGTGGAATGTTTTCAAGAAGGAACATGACATGGTCAGATCTTTAATGTGATATGGTTATTTGCACTGAGGTGTGGAAGATGAGGGACGCAGGGGGATCAGTAGGGAAGTGTGTAGAGTGGTCTGGTTCATTTACTCAATAAGCATTTATTAAGTGCCTGCCATGTGCCAGGCACTGTGCTAAGTGCTGGGAATACAAAAAGAAGCAAATGACAGTCCCTGTAGTCAAGGAGTTCACAATTAAGTGATGGTGAGGGTCTGCTCTAGGATGGAGCCATGTGAGGGAAGAGGAGAGGGATGTGAGCAATGCTGTGGAGATGGAATGGACGGGACCTGGAGACTGCCTGGGGATGGCCAGTGAGTTAGACGCAAGAATCAATAATCATTCCCCGCTTACACACTGAGGTGACTGGAAGGATGGTGGTGCCTTTAGACGTACTGTTTGATTTTCAGGTGCAGATGACATGGGAAAAGAGAGTTCAAAAGAGAGAATCTGAACTCACGGAAAAATGTCACCAGGGTAGAAAGTGAATAAGGACACCTTGGTGGTGCAGTGGATAGAGCACTGGGCCTGGAGTCAGGAAGACTCATCTTCCTGAGTTCAAATGCAGCCTCAATGCAGCCTCAGATACTTACTTGCTGTGTGACCCTAGGCAAGTCACTTAACACTGCTTGCCTCAGTTTCCTCATCTGTAAAATGGGCTGCAGAAGCAAATGGCAAAACACTCCAGTATCTTTGCCAAGAAAACCCCAAATGGGGTTACAAAGAGTCTAACAGGACTGAAACAACTGATTAACAACAAAAGAAAGTGAATAAAAGGGCCAAATGAAGTAGGAACTGAGAAGAGGATGTTGGAGTTAGCAGTTAACTCATAGCCAGTATTGTTCAAAATATAGAATGAGTGTCTGAAAACCAAAACCTGAGCCAGGAATCATGGTTCACACCAGTTATCCTTGCTACTGGAGAAGTTAGAAGCAACCTAAATGCTCATCAAAAGGCGGATAGGTAAATACACTGGTGTTTAAATAAAACGGAATACTGTGACATCAGACAGACAAGTGCAAGGAATGCATGAAAAGTAATTGTCTCATGCGGTCCTCCCAACCATTCTTCAAGGTGGGTTCCATAACTAGATTCTTTCCTTATTTTGATGCACTTCCTTTTCTCGTGTAAGGGAATCTTTTGATTTCTAGCATAATAGAAAAATGTTATATATATATTTTATTCACAGAATTAGGATGCTAAAATAGGTGACAAGACATTGATCTCTCATGCCCGTGCTAGCTCTAATCATCAATACTCATGGTAACTCACTCTTACACATTACATCTTCATTGTTTGCAAAGTCCTTTACATAAATTATCTCATTTTGCTCTCATAACAATCCCCTGAAATAGGTACAATAAGTATTATGTTCTCTTTCACAGATTTGGAAACTGAGACTTAGGGAGATTAAGTGATTGACCTGTTTTTATATTGCTAATAAATAAGCCTGAGAGGTAGGGTTCAAACCCGAGTCTTCTTGACTCCAAGACCACAGATCATACAATGTGAACTCCCTTAGTTTCCTTTCTTTCAACTTCAGAATCTCTTATCTTCTTACTCTTGTCCCTGAACAAGGATACCTCCTCCCTGCCAAGGCTAACCCTTGAACATATGCCTTTGATCATATATTTTCTAGTCTACAGGATGGCCTTATTAAGAGGAATCATCCTTCCTTGTCTCGCATCTTCAATTTTTTTGGTTCTCCACTGATTTCTTTCTCTGACTATAAACATTCTCAGGTTTCCCTTATCATTTAAAAAAAAAAAGAAGAAACAAAGAAAAATCTTCTCCAGGGTCTGCTATCCCCTCAAGCTACTAGGCTATTTCTCTCTTTCCCTTCAAAGCTAAACTAGCCCACTAATGGTTTTCTGGCTTCTAGTTTTCCCCCTTTCCAATCCATCTTCCACACAGCTTCTAAAGCAATATTGCCTGAAGGACTGCAATTCTAAGGCACAGTCTGACTACATTTCTTCCTTCTCCCCTGGGTCCAAACTATTTTTTCAGCCTTATTCCATGTTTTTCTCTTTTATGCACTCTACTTTCCAACCACACTGACCTACTAAATCTTCCCTGAACTCTTGCCATTCCAGTGGTACCTACACTCTAGAATCTCCAAGCTCTCCAATCCAGCCTTAGACACTCAGTAGCAGTGTGATCCTCTGCAGGGCACTTAAGCTCTTTCTGCCTCAGTTTCTTTCACCTATAAAATGGTGATACTAATAACACCTAACTGCCAGGGTTGTTTTGATGATAAAATATTGGTAAGGCTCTTTGAAAACCTTAAAGTACCATATAAATGCCAACTATCATTATTGTTATTATCATTATTCTCTTTCTTCTCTAAATATAAACATAGACTCACACACCCAGATTTCACTGCACCAGTCCAGTGCAGGCCATGGCAGTGTAGACCTGGCTCCAGAAAACCCAGAACACACCTCAGAAGTAACTGAATCACTGGCAGCAGTGGCAGTTTCCAGACCTCTCAGCCCATAGACACGGAAAATAACTTAGAAGATCAGCAGGAAAGGTCTGTTGCACCTGGGTGAGAGGGGAGCATAGTCCAGTGAAGGCTGTGCCATCATTGCCCCAACCACAGCAAACCAGGAGCAGGTGATGGCTGTGACTGAATCCACAGCGGCAGTGGCTACTTCCGGATCTCTCAGCCCACAGACAGTAAGGGAGATGGAAAACTGGAGAGAAGATTACAGGGGTCTGTTTGCTAGCACTGAGGCAGGACTCTGTTGCTTTGCCCATACTCAAATCCAGGTCACACTCCTGGGTGATAGTCCCAGGGTGAGGAGGAGCACGGGCATAGCAGAGATCACAGCCACAGTGGAAGGGGAACTCTCCTCATAGTTCCAGGGCAGAAAAGAATGTTTGTGGTTGCTCCCAGATCAGAGCACAGACTAGGAGAGTAGTAAACACCTCTCCTTAGATCATACCAGCTAGGAAGAACTGAAAGCTTACAGGTCCCTAGAAGTACGTCTGGCTTCCAAGACTTCCAGGAGTGAAGGCGGTGGAGTAAGCAGTAAATCACTCTCATTCTCCCTCACTGACCTCTAAAAAACCAAGAAAATAGCACCCCAGGAAAAATCCTGCAACAGTAGATACACTGAAAAGACAGAGGCAAGCAGTTTTTTAACCCAGGAAACTTGGAGGATCTCCAAGAAAGGTACATCTCATTCAGGTAAAAGTGGAGCACAGTCTAGGATAGGAGGCGTCCCAGCAAGCCAACAGCAAGCCCCACCTCAGCAAACCAGTGGGAGATCCTGAGCCCCAGGTATAGCAGGCAAACACCAACACAAGGCCCCCCCACCCCCATGCAAGCTTTAGCACAGCTAGGGAAACTGGCAGATTCCAGCTTCAAGAACCACCACATGCACTGGCATAGCCTCATGTGGGCAGGCATCCCCCAGCAGCTGAACATCTTTCAGCTTTAGTGTGCTCTGGCTGGGCAGGCATCCTCCAACAGCAGGACCACCATGTACTTTAGTGTGCCCTGCTTGGGCAGGTATTCTCCAGCAGCCAGACCTCCATGAGCTCCAATGTAGCCCTGGGAAACGCAGAAAAATGCCACCTGGCCTCAGCACATGCCAGACACCAGCTCGGCACCAGGTAAGCTGTCAGACCCCATAGCCCCCAGCTGCTAGCACCTGAAGTTGCAGCACACAAAGTTAGTGACCAAGGCGCAGTCCCCAGCATGAGAAGCTTGGGACAGTGCCCCCTACGCTTCGTAGCCAAACAAGAGGAGCGAAAAGCAAAAACAAACACTGAACAAAGACTCTTATTATGGGGACAGTGAAGATGAAGGCAGGAATTCTGAAGAATACAACATTGTCAACAGACCCACACCTGAAACCTCAAAAGGGAATATGAACTGGTCTGAAGCCCAAAACGCCTTCTTAGAAGAGCTCAAGAAGGACTTTAATAGTCAAATGAGAGAGGTAAAAGAGTCCTTCAAAAATACAATTGGCCAGTTGGAAAAAAAATACACTGAAGAAAACAAGTCCCTAAAAAACACAATTGGCCAATTGAAGAAGGAAGGACAAAAACTAACAGAAGAGTATGCTGAAGGAAACAAGTCCCTAAAAAACACAATTGGCCAGTTGAAGAAGGAAGTACAAAATCTAACAGAAGAGTATGCTGAAGGAAACAAGTCCCTAGAACACACAATTGGCCAGTTGAAGAAGGAAGTACAAAAACTAACAGAAGAAAACAATCTGTTAAAAATTTACACAAACTGATACAAACTGAAGTGAGCAGCACCAGGCTAACACTGTACACAGAAACAACAATACTGTACAATGATCAACTGTGAATGACTTAGCTACTCTCAGTAATACAGTGATCCAAGACAATTCCAAAGACTCCTGATGAAAAGTACTATCTACCTCCAGATGAAGAATAGATGGAGACTTAATGCAGATTGAAGCATACTATTTTTCAGTTTTTGTGTGGGGGGTTTCTTTTCTGTCTGCATTTTCTTTCATAACATGACTACTATGGAAATATATTTCGTATGATTGCATAAGTATAACCTATATCAATTGCTTACTGTCTCAGGGAGGAGGGAGTGGAGAGATGGAGGGAGAGGATATGGCACTCAAGATTTTAAAAAATGAAGGCTAAAAATTGTTTGCACATGTAATTGGGAAAAAATAAAATGTTATTTTTTTAAAAAAAGAAATTACCTACCATTTGTTCTGTATATGTATCTGTATGTACCTAGTCACTTATATGTTGACTCCCCCTTTAGAATGTAAGTTTCTTAAGGTCAGGAACAATTTCTTGCCTTTCTTCGTATTGCCCAACCCTTAGCACAGTGTCTAACATATAGTAAGTGCTTAATAAATGCTTGGTGACTAAATAATGAATGAATGGAAAGACCAAAAAGGAAAAAAAGGGGGAAAAAAAGAAATCATAGAAAACTAAATCAAAAGATCCATTACTCTAAAAAATTAAAATACTTTTAATTTATCATAAACATATTTCCAATGGTTATGATATATATAAGCTTGAGGAAACGTGTTTTTTATATAAACTTTGTAGCTCCCTAGCAGTGCCTAGTACAGAAAAGGTCCTTGAATTGATGCATATTGTCTTACACGGAACCAATGAATAGAAAATACAAACATTAATACAAGATGTTAAAAAAAAAGGGGAAGGTTCTGAAAAATTAGCCTTACCTGTCTCTTTGATAAGTTTCAAGCATCCCTTTAGGTGTACAGGGAATAAAATAATCTCATACGTCACCTCTAGCAAGCTTTCCAGCACTGACACTAGTCAATCTGAAACATTAAATTAAATGCAGAATGAATAAGAACAAGGCAATTAAAAGCTTTGAACCTTTTTAAACATTGGCATGGAGTTTCCCTGAGTTACCAATACATGTTCTAAAGATATAACAGCTTTAAAATGAAGTGACTCAAAATATCAAACACACCCATCCACATCCTTTTTGGGAGCAATAGTTATTTGTCACCAGCTCAGTGTTAATGGTCTTTTCTGCACCTAAAGAGAACTGGACCAGGTGTCCATGTACAGTAGAGTCTTCATTCAAAGATGTGATGCACTCTAAAACCTTAAAACAAATTTTATAAATTGAAGACAGACAGTAGGAATGAAAACCAGTATAAGACAAAACATATCCAATTTGATTTCCCCTCTAAGAGTTTTAGCTCAGAGTTCAAAGAAAAAACCCACTACCATATAGGTCCTGCACATAACTTTCCTGTTAGACCAAAACACCTCCCAATGATATCTCTAGATACTAGAGAGGTATGTTGAGGTAACAGTTAAAGAAAGGTTTGTGGGCGGTGGGTGGGAGAGGTGGCATGGGAACCTCTGGGGATAAATGGTCTAGATCTATGATTTCATTGTTGTAAGGCACTCTCAGTGAAGAAGCTCTTACCAATGCAGATAGTTAGATAGAAGACTGCAACTTCTGTACTTTATAGCTCTAGAGAGATGTCTGGGACACTGAGAAATTAAGTACTTTCTCCAAGGGCACACAGTTAATCTGTCAGAGGTAACACTTGAATCCAGGTCCTCCTGACACTGAGGCTGGTTCTCTAATTAATATGCTGATCTGCTTCTTGGCCTTCCTTTTTACTTAAACATTTAGGGCCCTCTCATGAGCTTTATTATTTATATCTTATTAATGGAATGCTTTTGTTCACAAATCAATTGAATAAGTACTTATTAAGTGCCTACTATCGAGCAATCATTAAGCATTTATTAAGAATCTACTAAAAGAAAGTCTGAAAAGGCAAAAATGGAATTGTTTCTGCCTGAGAGTTTTCTTTCTATAGGAGGAGACAAAATATATACATATAAATACATAAAACAGATACATGGTAATTTTTTGGGGGGAGGAGTTATTAGCAGCCAGGATAATCAGAAAAGGCCTCATGTAGGGAATGGCATTTGGGCTGAGCTTTAGAGGAAACTAGGGATTCAAAAGGTAGAGGTGAGGTGAGGAGGAAATGGATTCAAGGGCTGAGGGCCAGATGGAATGTCATGTATGAGCAACAGGACAGCAGGCCAGACTGGTTGGAATGTAGACTACATAAACAGAGGAATATCACACCAGTCTGGAAAAGTTAGCTAAGGGTTTTAAATTCCAAACAGAAGAGTCTGTACTTTATTCTAGAGGCAAGAGAAGTTTGTTGAGTAGGGGAGTGACCTGTATTTTAGGAAGGTGATTTTGGCACTTGTTTTGGGGATGAATGAGAGAGGGGAAAAAGAATGGAAGCTGAGACAACAATTAGGAAGATATTTCAAACTCCACGTATGAAGGTCTGAATATAGAATTTACCCCTTGAGGAGTAAAGGAAAGGGCATTTATGAGAAACAAAGTATTCAGTATAGATGTTGAACTTTTTATATAACTTCATATGTAGCACCTCTTGTGGAGAACTAGGTTCTTTGTACCTCTTCTTACGTATCTGAGTTATTTTATGTGACAACTGTATCTGTCACAAGCACCCCTTAGACTGTATGCTCTATGAGGGCAGGGATCAGGTATTTATTCTTTGTATTTCCCTCAGTTCCTAGCACAATGCTCTAAACATAGCAGACACTTAATAGATGTGTGTTCAATGTTGAACCACCTGCATCACAGGACCCTTCCCTTGAAGTAAGGCAGCCTTGACTATGGGGCAAAGTATGTACCCATCTCACATACTCTCACATACACACACACACACACACACACACACACACACACACACACACACACACACACACTCACATACCCCTTAGCCCTGAAAATGACAATAAATCATAACCATGATATGGAACCATAAGAAGGTTTGCTCCACATGAACCCAAAAGTTTACCTCTGCCTCAGTTGAGGTTCTTGGTAGTTTAATAGGTGTGGCTCTGATTCCAATCTGTAAGAATGAAAATGTAAAACACGTTGAATGATCTAACTAGCTGGAAGAAGTAGGAGGACTGAGAGACAGACGTGTTTCTTAGGTAATAATGACTAAATACAGATTAAAAGGTATTATTTGTCATTAAATTCCTATGTCCTAAAGGAACTTGTAGCATTCCAGTGATTCTGAAAGTAATGGACTGATCCTTGGGAGTCCCTGGCCCTTTCAAGCAGTCCACAAAGTCAGAACTATTTTCATAATAATACTAATATTTTTAATTCCTAACATTATCAACAATGATAGGATATAGTCCATAACATCTTCAGGCAGGGTCCTCAATAATTTTTAAGAGTGTAAAAAGGTTGCGAGCTCAAAAAGTTTGAGAACCACTGCCATACAATTACCCATTTATTTATTTCCCCACAACATTTCAGATTTATTGTGTTCCTTTAATTTTTCCATTCTAGCTTTCTGTTTAAGAAGCAAAGCAAGTAAATAAAAGACAGAGGCTCTAGTTAGAAGCCACTTATTTACAATTTGCAGTACAAGTCAAATTAAGATAAAGGCAGAGCAATTTTAATTGGGGGACAGGGGAGAGAAGTGGTGATGGGATCACTGTGTACGGGTGTAGATTTTTCCTCCTCAGCAGCTTTTAGCTTCATATTTATATAAAGATTTGAATCATCTCTATCTCCAACCTAGAACAAATAAACACAGTTATTTAATGAGGTATAATACATAGAAGAACCATTAAAATTGAGTTTGCTAAAGTAGAGTTTTTTATTGAAACAAATCTTATTACAGCTAACTTTGGGGGATGTACGTAATGTATCTAGAAGACTTTAACACAGAAATACACAACCTTTGGAAATCATTAATTAGATATAGTTTATGGTCCTATGTCCTGCGTTGTCTTTTAAATCTGAGTAAACAAAGACAACAAGCAATAAACATAAACAAGAATGTAACATTCCCTCCTCCTTTCTCACATTCAAGGCTGAGGAAACTACAAGGATTGCTTGCACAGCTTCTACAACAGTCTTAAGAGATCTGTTAACCTCTAACTTCTTCCTAAGACAAAGAACTCTGCAGCTCTTGTTGGCAATAAACATTTTCAGGAGTGTGAAACAATTTCTTCAGTATCTTATAATATGAAATCAATTTTAAACAGGAAGACTTATACATGAAGTAAGCAAAACCAGGAAAATAATATAAATAATGATTTCAATAATGTAAATGCAAAGATTTGCACTGCAACTTATCTGAGTTCAGCTGCCTCTTAGGTTTTTTTTTTAATTTACATTCATTAAAGTTGTCATTGTGGTCAAACTTCCTGCCTACAAAAGTCCAGCAGGAACCAGATTAAAATGTAATTAGACAATATTCAACAAAATAAATGAAAACACAATACAACATAGATAATGTTAATAGAAACTTTCCTGTGTTTCTCTGAATCCCTCATATTCATCCTTTCTCACAGGGACAAAAGTGTTGCAGCACACTCTCCTCTCTTCTATGCACTGTACAACTGAGCTACTCTGGCCTTCTTTCTCTTCCTCAAAGGTCATCTCCAGACTCCTCGCCTTTTCACAGGCAATATCCCATGCATTTCTCTCTTTCCTCACTGGATTCCTCTAAGACTCAAGTTCAGATCCTGAATTCTGCAAGTGGCTTTTTCCTAGTCCTCCCCATTGCTAGTGCTTTCCCTCTAGAAATTAACTTTCATTAACATTGTACATATTTTGTATATAAAATCTTTTTGCATGTTTTCTCCATTAAAACGTAAGCTCTTTTAAGGCAGGGGCAATCTTTTTCCTCCCTCCCTTCTCTCTCTCTCTCTCTCTCTTTGTTATCCCTAGAACTTAGTACACTACCCAGAATACAGCAAGCATTTATTAATAAATGCTTGTTGGCCAACTGACATTCACCTATACCACAATGTATTCAGCCATTCTCCATTTTATGGGAAACCCATTTTGTTTCTAGTTTTTTTGCTATCACAAAAATGATTTACTACCATGTGCAAGACCAAATTTCTCAGTATCCCAGGAAATGCTAAACTGTACTGGTAGAGGAAATTCCTCCCCAGGAGTTTCCTATACCAAGGGAGTCCCAGGCCCAGCTATAAAAAAGAATTGCTATTTTAAAATTCATATGCCATGAGTCATCAGTAAAGAACCTGAGGAAATGCCTGTATAATGGACAACAAATATTAAAAATCGGGTTGTGGGAGTTCTGTGATTGCATTGTGTTGGTTTTTATAGGAAAAAGACAAGGAACACAATCTGACTGAAATACACAAAATCAATATGCCTAGGACAATTTCAATAGAAAGCTGGCTCCCTTATTTGGATTCCAAGGAAAAACATGCTACTCTAAAAATGGGCATTATCATCGTCATTATGTATTTTGTTCTCTTGGACAAAAAACATGACTCAAAACTAGATCTTTTTTCTCTCTAGTCTGCTTTCACAAACTTTTTCATTTTACATTATTAAATATTAGATCCTGTAAATAAAAACAGCAAAGAATGGCTTCATATTCAGGGTTGACCTACTAGATTAACCCTATTTGGTGCAGCCTCCTTAGTTGCTAATATTCTCATATAATAAAGTAGTGGTATAATAGGAAAAAAAACCCACCTCATTGAATTTGTAGTCAGAATACCTGGATTGAAGTTCCAGCAAAGCTGCTTATTAGTTGTATGGCCTTGAATATCTAGATCAGACTAGATAATCTCTGACGTTTCTTTCAGCTCTAAAGTACCTATGCTTAGCTCTGAGTTTCATTTTTCTCATCAAAAATATGGGAATAATTTGTATAGATGTGGACCACTAGGGTGTTGGGGAGTTCAGATGACAGGAACCGAAAGTGTTTTATAATCTTAAAACACATGATTTAAATGTGAGTTAGTATTATTACTTATACTTCAAGGACCTAAAACATCATCTATTTGCCATGACCCCACCACTACAAAAGACTACTGCTTGTAAGGGAACCAATTGATTAACCAATGATTCAATGGATCAATATTTTAATTAATGATTAATATTTATCTTTGCTTTTCTGGAATCTGAGGAACACTGTAACATATATGTGTATATATATTCGGCATTGGAGGTAATCCTAAAGTTACACATGACTTGTTTTCCTTCAGCTTAAAGCATCTTCCCTTGGCCCCTGCTCACTTTTACCTATCTATTCAATTATTTACTATATAATCACATAGGACCTAACAACATCTCTTCTAATACTGTCTGGAACACTTTAAAAATTTTTTATTGGGATCTAAGCCAACTAAGACTCATGATGGAAAATGCTGTCCACATACAGAGAAAGAACTATGGAGCCGGAATGCAGACTGAAGCATACTATCTGCTCTCTTTTTTGTTGTTGTTTTTGTTGTTTTGTTTCTTCTTTCTCATGGTTCCTCCCATTGGTCTTAAATCTTCTTTCAACACGACTGATGTGAAAATACGTTTAACATAAATGTATATGTAGACCCTATATTAGACTGCATGCCATCTGGGAAGGGGGGAGAGGAGGAAGTAGGGGGAGAAAATTTAAAACTCAAAAGCTTATGGAAGTGAATGTTGAAAATTAAAAATAAATATAAAAAATAAAGGGAAACAAGCAAAAAAATAAAAGGAAAAATATGGTGAAAATATCAACATAGGTGGAAAACACTGAGCATATAAAATAAAATGGTGGCCATAAAAGTGCAGAGAAGGGATTGAAGTGATATATGTGGAAGGAGATATAAATGGGAAAGGAATTGGTATCTGAGTTTTTTGACCAAAAGCATAGTCTTGGAAAGAGGGTGCCAGATAAGGCAGCTCTGAGGCATGGGAAATGGAAGGGGATTTACTACTGATCATGATAATTCTCTAAGGAAAATCAATATTTTCTACTTTAAAAAATCTTTATTGTTATTTTAATTTTTTACATGGTTTCAGGTTTTATCTGCCCTATTAGATTAAGTGTTGAGGGCAAGGCTCTTGTCAATACTTTTCTGTATACTACTTCCATCCTAAGATTTGCTTTTATTTATCTTATAAGTTTATTTTTGAGTTGTCTTTTTATATCTCCGAGTTATTTCTCCATGGAAATGACGTTTTATGCAAGGGTAAGGTTCACTATACAAAGGCAGCTTCACCCAAAGATCTAAAAGTGCAATACACTTCTCTAACCAAAACATGGTAACAAGAAATCTCCCAGGCTCCTCCCTGAGTTTTTACAACCATCCTTACTCCTGAATAATGCATATAAAAATCAAATTTGATATCATTGATTGTAAATGAATCAAATATTCCAGAATTACTATAAATACCTCACATGTCAGTCTTACTGTAGGTCAACTGTCCATTCAGACTCAACACGACTATTAAGCAGCTATTTTTTCACTTACCTGCCTGTGAAGTAGAAACAGGCCATTCAAGACATATATACAAAGCAAGGGTAAGTATTGTTAAAAGAGCCTATAATCTTCTTTCCCCAATTCCTTGTCTAATCATAATCTATATTACAAACCACACTATCCTTTGTGTTAGCAGAGAAACATATCTGAGGTAAATCCATCATAGATACATTTCCTGGTAAATCCATGCAAAGCAGCCAAGTAGAAACAATGCTTTTCTGCTTAATGAAAACACTGAAGGTTAACCCATCCAAAAAAGGAGGGTACAAAAGGGTCACATAGAAGCCTTTAAGCAAAGTACTGCTGAAGAAAAGTATTATGGAAACCTGGATTTACTCATGACATGCTTTCTCTCTTTAACAGATCTCCCCAAATAAACCAAGAACTAACCAGTCCCTGGGTGTTCTTAGCACAGTTCTATAACAAACCTTTGATTCTCACTCGGCAATTTGTGAAAAAGCAAAAAACAAAATAAAACAAAAAAAAATCATAGCAGAAAATATGTGCTGGGAATATAACCACAGGCCTTCAAATTGTCTTTCTTTTCCAGCAACCCCAACCTTTCTAATGGGAAATAATTGGCAACAAAAAGCAACAG